CAGCGGTACCCGCTTTCCCTTTATTCTCAAATGCCTCGAGCCAAGGTCCAGTTGACACTTGCGAGGTAGAAGGTAGTCCAGATCCAGGATGCAAGGGTCTTCTATATCTGCTACATAAGCTTGTAGGGTTTATTCTTCCCCTCCTAGCTCGATGCTGATATCCACTGGTCCCTTTAGCACTGTGCATTGTCCAGTTACCCGCACAGCTGTTGCAACGTCTCAGGCAGTTTTCGATGACTAACCACGTCTGGCCTCACAAAAGTCTGCTCCGAGGCTGTGTCGATCACCAACGGATACCTTACGCCATCGATCTCACCTTCAACCTGGACACTGCTTACAGTGGCTCGGTTGTATTTTGTCAATAGTGGGGCTCTGGTGAGACAGGCTGGTAGTTGCCCCTTAGCACCAGCCATCTCTAGTCTCCTCGCCTGAGTGGGCTGCTCTTTTTTCCCTCTCGGAATTCTGTAGGGGCTTACTCTTGAAGTGTCCATCTTCTCCACACGTCCAACATCCTCTCCTCTCCACGTTCTTCTCTGTATTGCCCTTCTCTCGCTCTCGTTTCCGCTTGTAACAGTCCTCTTGTTTGTGCGCAATCTTCTCACAATACCAGCAGGCTCCTTTAAATTTCTCTGCCTTTTGTACTTAGCCCTTTCGTGCTTTAAACCCAGAGCTAGATTCCATCCTGCAGTTTGGTAAACTTGACCTCACATACGATTCCAACTCCAGGGCTCTAGCCAAAGCTTCCTGTAGAGTTGCAGGTTGGGACTGTTTCACCTGAATCTTGAGCTGCGTGTTGTCCAATGCATCCACAAACTGGTCCCTCGACAACATGGCTAACAGATCAGGTGATGCTCCAGGGTACGCCCTATGAGCCATATTTTCCAGGTCTCAAGCAAGCTGTTGCAGTGTTTCACATCGATTACAGGTACAAGTACGGAATCTGGCTCTGTAAACCTCATTTTGGTGCTTGGTTCCATACCTTCGTTCTAATACCTTTACCAGAGACATGTAACTGCTACGCTCTTTTCCTGTCAACTGGCTGAGAACCTCCATAGCAGCGCCTTTAAGACTCGTGGCTAATTGTACTGCACACTGCTTGTCGTCCCACCCGTTTTGTTCAGCTAGTAACTCATACTGTGCCTGGTATGCTTTCCATGAGACCTTTCCGTCGAATTCCTGTGGTTTCTTCTTCACTGGCACTTTTGGATAGTTCATCACTTCACTTGACGTAGATTGGGATCTGAACTCAGGTGCTCTGTAACTTAACTCCACACTTCTTTTTTCCACGCACTCATTGTATTTTCCATCATTTTTAACACAATTCACTCCACTCTGAGAGTGCACAAATGATGTTTCACGCACACCATCACAATTATAGGAGTCACTAGTTCATGGCTGATACCCTGCTACTGACTTTCTTTAGCTCTTCACGTACCTCTGTCATCTCACCACTCAGTTTTTGTTTGTGCTGCTTCAATTTTTCACCTAGTTCCTCCTTTGTCGGTCCTAGTTCAACTTGCACTTCATGAAACGCGTCATCTCATCTGTTACACATCACTTGCAGAGCCTCATCCCGTTCATGAATTTTCTTGACGATCTCTTCCTGCAGCTGCTGTAGTTGTTGCTTCTGCTCTTCTCTGTTCTTGCAGCTGTTCCTGAATTTTCACTTGCAGCTGCATATTTTCATGTTTCTGTTCTTCTCGTTGTGATGTAGGAATTGCATGAGATCAGCCATGGAAATCTCTCCTTGCCTGGCCTGGCTTCTGGTCTGGACACCTCCACCCTCCATCTTGATTAATATCTCACTGCTAGGCTATCCCAACCTTAACATCAGTGTTACGACCCTCCTTTCCCCGCTTACCCAGCGTTCACCACTGGTTACCAGCTGCCAGGTCGTATAAACAGACATGTGTATCACAAGTGTCGTCGAATTTCCACTGGCTGTCCCGCCAGTCTCCGGTAATTTCCCGACGATCGGTATCAGTATACAAACAAGCAACAGGCAGGTAGATTTCCACCAGGTCACAGAAACAGACTTGTGAATTGGAGCCTTCTTTAATAATCACTAAATCTTCACAAAACTGTTCACAGGATCCGTCTTCACAATTGGGGTTCACACTTCAAATATATACAGTCAGCACACTACCAGTGTACAATTCCTTAGGTTTTACACTTATATCTCTCACGATAATACAACAATTATCACTAGGCTTGTATTTCACACTGAACAGAAACAATCGACTTACCTATAGTCTGCTCGCAGGTGTTTATAAATGTCTCGTCAGACGCCTAGAACATTCTAGCGATGACCAGACGCTGGAGGTCGGATTGAAACACACCTGGAGAATTCTAGAATTTTCTAGGCTTAGAATACGTAAGTAAATCATAAAAAAAATGATGCAATACATACTAAAATATTTTTACAAATGTAATACAGAAATATATACACAAAATCTCCAAATAACTGCTGCTTGGAATAGAAAATAATCAGAACATCTAGTTCACAAACATTATAATATCAAATTATGCCTCAACATAATAGTATCTTCATGGGAAAGTATGTGGCGGAGTTTTTTTTAACCACAGCTGAGTGTTTGTACTATATTTGAGGAACGGTGTTCCCACCTATAAGACCTGAGTCGGACTGCCGTGTCTAGGGGCGTGGAAGCCAGCATGGTCACACGTTTCTATTTTAAGAGGTCAGGCAGTTTGACCTTTGTCCCTGTTGTATGCGAAGGGTTATTGAGTAGTATATTGAGATGTTTGTTATACACATTTATTGGTGCTTGAACATTCTGACCAAGAATGTAAGGGAAATTAGTCCAGACTTAAATATAATTTTAAAACATTTATAAAGATGGTTTTCGATCTTTACTGTAGTCTATCGTTTGTATAACTTTATTAATTCTCCAAATAAAAATTAACAATCATATTTTTATCTTTGTCACCCTCTCCAAAAATAGTGTCCCGTATTTTGAAATAAAAGTTCTGACAACCTATAATTTTAATTGGTCAATGTTTGCATTTAATGGTGTTATAACAAACAATTAATAACACTGCATGTGCCATTTTTATATTATTATCTCCCAAAACCACAGTGTAAGGCGGCGCTGTGCATTAAAATATCGTTGTCAGTTGATCGCCTCACTTAAAGACATAAACGGTAGTGTTAACACTCAACTTAACAAACCAAAACTGGGTCTTTAATTTACCTGCATAATGTAATAGTAAATACATCGAAATATTTTATTTTTTGTGTGCGATTTATATGAATTTTGGGCTGTAGAGAATTACTAGTACTGTAGTTAACACCGGAACAAGGTTGTTCGCTTTCTTTAAATAATAAACTCGTATATAAATAACAACTATGCTACAGTACGTCTGGTTATCAAATGTTAATACAGTACAGTAGTCATGCATCAATATATTATCAATGTATCGGGAGTTACTTATCCATAAGGCCACAATAATGTTTTTTAATTGATAGTTTGAGGACTATCTTACAATAGTGATCGTCATTCGCCAATCACCACCAGACGCAGGCAGCGGTGTGCCAGACTGCCAGTTGACAGCCCGCCCTGGCAGGGTGAGGAAGGGTTGGGATTTGTGCCGTTGTCATGCACCAAACCCTAAGTTATGCCAAATCTTCTGGTTGTATATGAAAGATTATATTCCTGAAAAAGGTCACGATGATGGAGAATTACAGGTTTTAAGAAGTCTTACAACTGAAGGAAGTACGAATGATACAAGTCCATCTGTCAATTTTTGTGATTTTTTTTTGGGGTTATTCTTTTACTCTCAGGTCCTTGACTTTGCATTGCTTCGAGCACTAGTAAATTCTTTAGAAAAACTTGCGCTTCTGAGAAACAAAAGTTCAGCTATTATCATTATTATTATTATGATGCACAAGCGTGGGATTTGCTCGGAATTTCTATACTGTATCATGTAAACGTAATATTTCTTCTGGCTCGACAAACTTTCTGCCCGGAAGTTTCATTTTAATTCAGTTCTGTGCAAGCAACAATCGGTCACTCCCAAAACCGTAATGCTTTTTCTTTTCTTATAAAGAGCATTACGTTCAGCTCATTTTCACAAGGAAACCGAAAAACGTTAAACATTAAAAAAAAATCATTCCTCTTCCTGCAATCTTTACAGGAACTTTAAGTTGTATTAATATATTAACAAATATTAATGTGATTACAAGGTTATAAAAATTAGGATTGTATCATAGTTCATTGTAGTGGTCAAGGGAGGAAACATTTGAAAACTGGACATGGTCCTATGGGGGACTTTGTAAAAAAAAAATGCTGGATGAATGCAAGTAATTCATTAAATACCTTTACAATCCCTCCGCCTTTTAACAGAACTGAATCACTGTTCCAAGATAAAGCCCATAAAATATACGTCATAATGTTGTCAAAATTACAAGAGCAAATGGTCCCCACTTGTTGATGGGCGAGGATTCCCACGACCTGACGTTATGGTAGACCTCGCCCCAGAGGTGTTATTAATTAATTAAACAGACATAAATAAGCCAGGTACAGTACCGTGAACATACTGGTGTGAAAATTGAAGCATCCATTATCAAGATACAGCACCGGGACCTGGCAATTATCACAACGTACACATCGCAAAATGGAAGTTGACAACATTATCGTGAATGTTAGCGCCGTGAATTACCCTCGAGGTAGTTCGAAGGCTAGAGTATTAAAGGTCCGTATGATATTTGTCTCTAAATTTCAGATGAAAGAATAGATCTTCTCTTACGAGGAAATTTCACCGCAAGAACCTTTGAAATTGACACCTAATATGACTGTGAACTAAGACATCTCACCGAATACCCTGTATTTGGCATGACGCATTTATTTCATTCATGACGAAGGTAGAATCCCTTCGGAAGACCAGAACGCATCGTGGCGCAATAAGTTCCGTGAGAGCCACCACTCAATACCACATCTGCAGTGCCATAAGTGCCGTGGGAGCCAATATGAACTGCACACCGGCACCACAGTTAATAACAAGATAAAAAGCAGGTCCACCGCATCTGAAGGCAGACACTCTGTTGATTGTGTTCAAGAAAGACGAGGACCTCGCAGGCATCAATATGGTAAGTCACTATGTGCTTCACTGTACGGTACACACACACTCGAACAATTCAATTTTCTTCAGTAAAATTGTCATACAAGTTCACACTGATCTAGCATGTGTATAGAGTCTATAGCATATAGACAATATAGCTATACAGTTCAGCATGTGAAATGTGCACACAGGGTGGTGTAATGTGTCCAGTGTGGCAGTATTATGTTAGTGCTAAGGTGCAGGCATTGCTTGCTTCCTCTCGCTGGCTAACCCTTGTGGTGAACTGGGAAGTAGCCTTGCCGAAGTCTTCCCCTGCCAGTACACAGCCTCTTCACCATTAAGACTGTAATTAAAGTATATATAAAAATAAATAATTAAATAAACTAAAAAATAAATAAAAAATAAAATTAATAAATGTTGAAGTGATAATCGTGGTAACATTATGAGATGTTCTTATTACCACCATGCTATTGTACTATTCCAGATGATACTAAATGTTACATAATACTTCTTTGATATAAATGTATACTGTAGTATATACAAGTGATCATGGGCCCTTCGTGCCCGGTGGTGAGTCTGTTGGTACAGTTTACCGAGGTTGTTATAATCATAGTCGTGGTTATTATAATCATGGTCGTGGGTGTTATAATCATAGTCGTGGTTGTTATAATCATAGTCGTGGTTGTTATAATCATGGTCGTGGGTGTTATAATCATGGTCGTGGTTGTTATAATCATGGTCGTGGTTGTTATAATCATGGTCGTGGTTGTTATAATCATGGTCGTGGTTGTTATAATCATGGTCATGGTTGTTATAATCATGGTCGTGGTTGTTATAATCATGGTCGTGGTGTTATAATCATGGTCGTGGTTGTTATAATCATGGTTGTTATAATCATGGTCATGTTGTTATAATCATGGTCGTGGTTGTTATAATCATGGTCCTGGTTGTTATAATCATGGTCGTGGTTGTTATATTCATGGTCATGGTGGTTATAATCATGGTCGTGGTTGTTATAATCATAGTCGTGGTTTTTATGAGCATGGTCGTTGTTGTTATAATCAGTCGTGGTTGTTATAATCATAGTCGTGGTTGTTATATTCATGGTCGTGCTTGTTATAATCACAGACGTAATCTTTATAATCATGGTTGTTTTTGTTATAATAATAGTCGTGATTGTTATAATCATGGTCTTGATTGTTATAATCATAGTCTTGGTTATGATCATAATCGTGGTTGATATAATCATGGTCCTGGTAGTTATAATCATGGTCGTGGTTGCTATAATCATAGTCGTGGTTATGATCATAATCGTGGTTATTATAATCATGGTCCTGGTTGTTATAATCATGGTCGTGGTTGTTATAATCATGGTCGTGGTTGTTATAATCATGGTCCTGGTTGTTATAATCATGGTCGTGGTTGTCATAATCATGGTCGTGGTTGTTATAATCATGGTCGTGGTTGTTATAATCATGGTCGTGGTTGTTATAATCATGGTCGTGGTTGTTATAATCATGGTCGTGGTTGTTATAATCCTGGTCTGGTTGTTATAATCATGGTCGTGGTTGTTATAATCATGGTCCTGGTTGTTATAATCATGGTCGTGGTCATAATCCTGGTCTGGTTGTTATAATCATGGTCGTGGTTGTTATAATCATGGTCCTGGTTGTTATAATCATGGTCTGGTTGTTATAATCATGGTCGTGGTTGTTATAATCATGGTCGTGGTTGTTATAATCATGGTCTGGTTGTTATAATCATGGTCTGGTTGTTATAATCATGGTCCTGGTTGTTATAATCATGGTCCTGTTTGTTATAATCATGGTCGTGGTTGTTATAATCATGGTCGTGGTTGTTATAATCATGGTCAAAGTTGTTATAATCATGGTCGTGGTTGCTATAATCATGGTCGTGGTTCTTATAATCATGGTCGTGGTTGTTATAATCATAGTCGTGGTTGTTATAATCATGGTCGTGGTTATTATAATCATGGTCGTGGTTGTTATAATCATAGTCGTGGTTGTTATAATCATGGTCGTGGTTGTTATAATCATGGTCATGGTTGTTATAATCATGTTGATGGTTGTTATAATCATGGTCATTGTTGTTATAATTATGGTCCTGGTTGTTATAATCATGTTGATGGTTCTTATAATCATAGTCGTGGTTGTTATAATCATGGTCTGGTTGTTATAATCATGGTCGGTGGTTTGTTATAATCATGGTCGTGGTTGTTATAATCATGGGCGTGGTTGTTATAATCGTGGTCGTGGTTGTTATAATCATGGTCTGGTTGTTATAATCATGGTCGTGGTTGTTATAATCATGGTCGTGGGTGTTATAATCATGGTCGTGGTTGTTATAATCATGGTTATGGTTGTTATAATCATGGTCATAGTTGTTATAATCATGGTCTGGTTGTTATAATCATGGTCCTGGTTGTTATAGTCATGGTCGTGGTTGTTATAATCATGGTCGTGGTTGTTATAGTCTGGTCGATGTGGTTATAATCATGGTCGTGGTTGTTATAATCATGGTCATGGTTGTTATAATCATGGTCGTGGTTGTTATAATCATAGTCGTGGTTGTTATAATCATGGTCGTGGTTATTATAATCATGGTCGTGGTTGATATAATCATGGTCGTGGTTGTTATAATCATGGTCGTGGTTGTTATAATCATAGTCGTGGTTATGATCATAATCGTGGTTGTTATAATCATGGTCGTGGTTGTTATAATCATGGTCGTGGTTGCTATATTCATAGTCGTGGTTGATATAATCATGGTCGTGGTTGTTATAATCATGGTCTGGTTGTTATAATCATGGTCGTGGTTGTTATAATCATGGTCGTGGTTGTTATAATCATGGTCGTGGTTGTTATAATCGTGGTCTGGTTGTTATAATCATGGTCTGGTTGTTATAATCATGGTCGTGGTTGTCATAATCATGGTCGTGTTTGTTATAATCATGGTCGTGGTTGTTATAATCATGGTCGTGGTTGTTATAATCATGGTCGTGGTTGTTATAATCATGGTTGTGGTTGTTATAATCCTGGTCTGGTTGTTATAATCATGGTCGTGGTTGTTATAATCATGGTCCTGGTTGTTATAATCATGGTCGTGGTTGTTATAATCCTGGTCCTGGTTGTTATAATCATGGTCGTGGTTATTTATAATCATGGTCTGGTTGTTATAATCATGGTCCTGGTTGTTATAATCATGGTCGTGGTTGTTATAATCATGGTCGTGGTTGTTATAATCATGGTCGTGGTTGTTATAATCATGGTCGTGGTTGTTATAATCATGGTCTGGTTGTTATAATCATGGTCTGGTTGTTATAATCATGGTCCTGTTTGTTATAATCATGGTCGTGGTTGTTATAATCATGGTCAAAGTTGTTATAATCATGGTCGTGGTTGCTATAATCATGGTCGTGGTTCTTATAATCATGTGTCGTGGTTGTTATAATCATAGTCGTGGTTGTTATAATCATGGTCGTGGTTATTATAATCATGGTCGTGGTTGTTATAATCGTCGTGGTTGTTATAATCATGGACGTGGTTGTTATAATCATGGTCATGGTTGTTATAATCATGTTGATGGTTGTTATAATCATGGTCATTGTTGTTATAATTATGGTCCTGGTTGTTATAATCATGTTGATGGTTCTTATAATCATAGTCGTGGTTGTTATAATCATGGTCCTGGTTGTTATAATCATGGTCGTGGTTGTTATAATCATGGTCGTGGTTGTTATAATCATGGTCCTGGTTGTTATAATCATGGTCGTGGTTGTTATAATCATGGTCCTGGTTGTTATAATCATGGTCGTGGTTGCTATAATCATGGTCGTGGTTGTTATAATCATGGTCGTGGTTGTTATAATCATGGGGTCTTGGTTGCCAGTCATAGTGGAGTGCTTTTATAATCTGGTCGTGGTTGTTATAGTCATGGTCGTGGTTGTTATATTAATCCATGGTTGTGGTTATTTACAATCATTGTCCGTGGTTGTTATAATCATGGTCGTGGTTGTTATAATCATGGTGGTGGTTGTATAATCATGGTCCTGGTTGCTATAATCATAGGTCGTGGTTGTTATAATCATGGTCATGGTTGTTATAATCATAGTCGTGGTTGTTCTAATCATGGTCCTGGTTGTTATAATCATGGTCGTGTTTATTTATAATCATGGTTGTGGTTGTTGCAATCATGTTTTCGTGGTTATTTATAATCATGGTCGTGGTTGTTATAATCATGGTCGTGGTTGTTATAATCATGGGTCGTGGTTGTTATAATCATGGTGAGTGGTTGTTATAATCATGGTCGTGGTTGTTATAATCATGGTCGTGGTTGTTATAATCATGGTCGTGGTTGTTATAATCATGGTCGTGGTTGTTATAATCATGGTCGTGGTTGTTATAATCATGGTCGTGGTTGTTTATAATCATGGTCGTGCTTATTATCATGGTCGTGGTTGTTATAATCATGGTCGTGGTTGTTATAATCCGTGGTCGTGGTTGTTATAATCATGGGCGTGGTTGTTATAATCATGGTCGTGGTTGTTATAATCATAGTCGTGGTTGTTATAATCATGGTCGTGGTTGTTATAATCATAGTCGTGGTTGTTATAATCATGGTCATGGTTGTTATAATGGTCGTGGTTGTTATAATCATGGTCGTGAAGTTTGTTATAATCATAGTCGTGGTTATTATAATCATGGTCGTGGTTGTTATAAGCATATGGTCGTGAAGTTGTTATAATCATGGTCGTGGTTATTATAATCATGGTCATGGTTGTTATCATGGTCGTGGTTGGTGTAATCATGGTCGTGGTTGATATAATCATGGTCGTAGTTGTTATAATCATGGTCGTGGTTATTATAATCATGGTCGTGGTTGTTATAATCATGGTCGGTGTTGTTATAATCATGGTCGTGGATTGTTATAATCATGGTCTTGGTTGTTATGATCATGGTCTTGGTTGTTATGATCATAGTCATAGTTTGTTATGATCATAGTCATGGA